TAGGAAATTGATTGATTTGTTCAATCAATTATTCCTGCAAATAGGAACAACTAACAAGTGACATATTCTCTATCTTCTAATTATTAGTGATATATCTATTGTGTGTACCGTTTGAAGCATTATGTAGGTAAGCTTATTGCGAAAGCCAGCATGCCCATGGTGTTTGGCCTCTAGGTTTCAGACAATTCTAGGAAATGAGCCAAAAATACTTCTTCTTTATTTGGTGTTTTCACTTTTTTACTATTGCACCATTCAATAAATCCCGTGTAGTGCTTCTCATACCTTCCTTAAGTCTTCGTTGGCAATAACTCATCTGTATCGCATCTGTAGCTGGAAGTTTTTATCGCAATTCCACTGAATCAAAAATGACAGTGCAATTTGATGAATGATTTTGAACAAACTCACCCAATACTGCAGCAGCAAATAAGCTTAAACTTACATATTCCATCACCAACCACTTATATTTCGCGATAATATCATCATCATTGTTTTTCCCGCACTACTGCGGGAAAATGACACTTCCCAAACTAAATTGCGTGAATCACGCACGCTTGTAGAAAAAATCTGTTCTCGTCATAGTTATGGTCGTTGGTAGATTTTTATCTCAAAGATTCTGTTTCATCAAGTCGAGAACCAGATTTTCAAATTGAATAACTTAGACCTACTTGTAAACATTTCGCTTTACACGTATAGAAATGCAATACTTTCCTACTACCTACGACTAGGACCTACATATCTTCCAATCATTGGTTCATTTTTGAAAATGCTTATGAACAATCTTTTGATATCTGAGCGTCTGGTATTCCACTTGAGATTATCCACCTTCAATGACTCAAAAAAAAGATCTCTGAAACACGTCGATTTTTGTTCGAAAAGGGAAAAAACGTCTAACTCGTAGAAAGAATTGAATATTCAGCCTCCTTTTCAATTTTGATATAAAATTGGGTCGCGATTCAATTGTGACACTTTGAGCCCGTCGACAAACCTCAATTTCAATTGACCATGAACTAAAAAAAATTCGCCAAAAGCGTACCTATTTTCTATTTCTGACTAACCGATTTTTAGTGAGAAATATTTCAGACTCCAACGTCCGTTCCAACCCCTTCTTCCTAAGAGAACCGGGCCTGAAACAATTTGATTGATTTTTCTTCTATGTATATGAGAATGGTATTATAGATACCCTTCGGACCTTTGAGATAAGTTTCAATAGAAACTATATGAAATGTCTTTACTTGGTCGATGCTCGATTGGTTCTAACCGTAAGTAAATGTGCCGAAAACATTTTTATAGCAATCTACCGAATTGTTTCATTCCTTAGATTGTAAATTCACAAATTTCACATTCTGAACCAATTCTCTGAAGAATGAACTATTCAAGATATCAATAATGAATGACGTGGAAATATATCACTAAAATTACGGCTCTTTGACGTCATATTATGGAGAATGGCCAATATGGTTAATAATGACTCAAAAATTACGTATTTCTAACATCATCCGTTAAATACTGTCTGTAGATTAATGAAAGAGATGGTACATTTATTTTACTTGATTATTTGGGAATTTCTCTTCTCGTTTCTATAAAATAAAAATATGAGTATCATTTCAATATATGTGTAGTAGGACAAATCAGATGATTTGCCCCAAAATGTCACTGTGTTTTACAAATTTTTCCATCAGGGAGCCTAAAAGAAAAATCCAATAGCGTTTCAGTGACACTTTGATTGGAAAAATGTTTGAAGAAAAGAATTTTTAAAAAAGATGAGTGAAAATTCAATATATCTCCAATATATTCCTTCTCTTCCAACATTTTTCCAAACAAAGTGTCACTGACAAGCTGTTGGATTTTTCGTTTATGCTCCCTGATTGAAAAATTTGTTATACGCAGTGACATTCTGGGACAGATCATCTGATTTGTACTACTACACATATATTGAAATAATACTCATATTTATATTTTTATAGAATGAATCATCATTCGTCATCTGGTTAGCTATGGGATGTTTCAGGAATGTTATAGAATATTCTAGGGTGCTCTCGAAGTTTTGTTCTCAAATTCAAAATGTTTCGACCGTATGCATGGTCTGTTGAATCTATTGAAAACTGTAGGTTTTAGACTCATTTAGTGACACTCTGTATAGATTCCGGATGATAATTCGAGGATTAATTGGCCACAGTCAATCAGAGAATTTGAGAGACGATCAACTACATCAAACTTGAAAAAGTGTATAGGAATGTCGGGAACTTTCGTTCGATATGATGATGACCACATTGCCTGTCAAACGCAGCATTGGGCAAGATTGATTGACATCAAGCACTTTTCATTATAATGCCCATTAACAAGTAACTCATGAGCCAATCAGTATTGAGCTGTGATTAAGAGTTATCTGGAAATCAATATGCTATAGGCATTCGCGTATACCTGCGTATACCTAGCTATATTAAAAATCACTACCTATATCACGAACAGTTTTGAGGTAATAATAATTGCAAACCTATATTTGAAGTTTTTTGTGAGATTGAGGTTTATTTTACGGCTCTGAACTTTCGAGGTATCTTAATGGGTTGCGTGCAACTTTCAGATGACTGACCCTGGGAAACATTGAAACACAAACTCACTTTTCTTATTTGTTTACAAGTGATTGAAATAGTTTTTCACAATTATTTTGGCATACAAATAGTGTTTTTCGGCTATTCATTAAATCGCGCATGTCATCACATGCTGTTGTACAATGCACAAAAAATGCAGCGAGAGACGAAGGAATTTTAATGAGAAATGACAAAATTTCATAATGAAAAATATGGTGAGATTACTATTCGCCTGAAAACTCACATTCCTTCGTCTCTCGATGCATTTTCTGTGCATTGTACAACAGCACAATGCGAAGGCATGCTTGAATCAATGAATAGCGCAAAAAACACGATTTTTATGCCAAAATATTGTGAAAAACTATTTCAATCCTTTCATTTCTCTGTAAACAACAAAAAAAGTGAGGTTGTGTTTCAATGTGTCACAGAAGAGTGAGGTTGTCTTTCAATATTTTACCTCTAGGGTCGGTAATCGTGCACGCGACCTATAGTGACAAACATTATCTCAGAAATGACCCCAATGACATCGATGAACTGCACTGTCCATACAGACCTCCCTTCTGTCCATCTGCTGCCAAGATTGGCGACCAGCCCATGATATGTTCTCTTTCGACCTGAAGGAAACTTGAAAAGCGAATACAATCTCGAAAATTTAATTCTTTGTTGAAGGAGGAAAACACAAAGTCGTCTCCACGTTGTCGTGTTTTCCTCCATCGTCAGGCAAACCCTCCACTTTGAGGTACTTGGACTTCTTCAACAGTTTAATCCATTACATCGAAATGAAATGTATCTAGCGATTACTTCTTTTATCTTTCAGCATTAATGGCACACGCAATCGCCGTACCCTCTATCTTATTATCCACCTGAATGATGAAAATGTTCTTCTTCTTTAAGTAGGACGCGAACAACTTCCTCCAATGTCTAATGGACGTCGTAAAACGCGATTGTTTCAAGTTTAATAACACAGATTTATCCCTTTTATGTCAACTTGAAGTGCATATTTGGTGATGACTTCTTCTTCTCAGCGTTGATGGCACCAGCTATTGCCATACCCTCTATCTCATTCTCCACCTTGAAAATTGAAACATATGTTTCAATTTGGAGCGACTAACTTTCTACGATGTCTAATAGTCGTTCTGAAAAGCGATTATCTCAAAAACCGTTGATTTTGGAGGTTAATAACAAAGTTCCATCCCTGTGTCAAATTGAAGTGTCTTCAGTGATTACCTCTTGTTAGTTTCAGCATTGATGGCACCTGCTATCGCCGTGTACCCTCCATCTTATTGCCAACCTAAGCAATGGAAATGTCCTTCAAGGAGAAGGCTCACAACGCCCTCCGATGCACTACCATTTCTTTGTGTCAAAATGAAGTGCCTTTAGGGATTACTTCTTATTGTCCCGTATGACATGAAAAGAGTAGAGAAGAGAGTTGTTCTCAAAATGGAACCTAGCATTCTGTTCGCTTTCTTAAAAATGTGAGGAATATGTTTATTGAAAGTCATTTTTGAATCAATAATAATTCCCAAATCCTTCACTTCACTACAGATGTGGAGGTAATGATAGCGCATGGTATAGTTATGAGTAACTAAATTAGAGTTTCTACTAAGAGTCATCTGATGGCATTTGTTGGGATTCAGGAAGAGGGAGTTATTTCTGCAGCACTCTAAGAAGCAATCAAGGTCCTCTTGAATTAGCACACAATCATTCAAGTGTGAAACTGTATGAAATATTTCAAGATCATCAGCATACATTAGGGAATACGAGAATTTGAAACATTCAGAGATGTTAAATACTGTCTGTAGGTCAATCGAGGAGGTGGTAGGTTCATTTTACTTGATTTTTTGAGATTTTCTCTCCTCGTTTCTATAAAATAAAAATATGCGTATTATTTCAATATATATGTAGTAGGACGAATCAGATGATTTGCCCCAAAAGACATACCGATAAATCGAAGCTAGCTGAACATATCCTTACTGAAGATGGACAACATATGGCAGAGTGGAATAATATCAAAATCATAGAAAAGATAGATAACAACCAAAGGAGAAAAATCAAGGAATCCGCTTGCATTCTTCTGAACGGAGACGATAGCATTGCTTCATGTACAGTTGATATAGATAGAACATGGTATTCACTACTGAAAACTGAACATGAAAATGGTAGATTCAAGATCAATTAATGAATCATCTTATATTGAAATAATACGCATATTTTTATTTTATAGGAACGAGGAGAGAAAATCCCAAAAATTCAGTAAAATGAATTCAGAGATGTCATTTATATAAATATTGAAAAGTAGGGGACCTAGATGTGAGCCTTGAGGAACACCCGACGTTATATTGACTGTTATTGTTTCTTTCAGTGTTGATGGCACCCGCTATCGCCGTTCCCTCCACCTCCTTCACCTGAACAATGAAAATGTCCTTTAAGAAGGAGGCGAACAACGTCCTCCGATGCCCCGGTCCGCCAGATGTCGCCCTCACAGCTGGGGACGGTCGCGAGACGTGGGGCAAGAAGGTCGACTTTCTGCTGTCGGTCGTCGGGTTCGCGGTCGACCTCGCCAACGTCTGGAGGTTCCCCTATTTGTGCTACAAGAACGGCGGAGGTGAGTTGAACGTTGTTTTTCATAGGGCTTCGCGAGACCAAGACCTTGATCTCGAAAAATTTATGTAGTCTTGGTATTGGTCTTGATGTTCCAAGACCAAGACCAGACTGGCTCAGCCTTGGTCTTTTTTTTATCTTCTGGTTCCCACGAAAAGGGATATCCTGTAATGTTCAAAGAACATCGTGAGAACCAAGGGAAATAAGGTAGGAATTGGTGTTCTTCTCAAATTTCTGGAGGTTATATGCCTCGGGGAACACCTCCCTCGACAATGTGTTCCAGAGCCTTGCTGTTCGATGGATGAACGAGTCTTTGGAAAGAGATATTCTGCAGATCTCCAAAGTGATCACGAAGGGGTGTGAAGCCTCAACTCGACGGGTTAATCTCGCGGGGACTACCAAGGGAGAAACAATTGTTGATATTTCAGAAGAGCATCGTCCATGAAAATATCTATAATATAGAGCCAGATCGCCAACTTCTCAATGTATTTCTTTTTATCTATGTCCTTTTTTTCATAGGGCTTCGCGAGACCAAGACCTTGGTCTCGAAAAATAAATGTAGTCTTGGTCTTGGTATTGGTCTTGATGTTTCAACACCAAGACGGGACTGGCTCAGTCTTGTTTTTTTTTTGTTCTGGTTCCCACGAAAAGGGATATCCCGTAATGTTCAGAGAACATCGTGAGAACCAAGGGAAATAAGATAGGAATTGGTGTTCTTCTTGAATTCCTCGAGGTAATATGCCTCGGAAAAACACCTCCCTTGGCAATGTGTTCCAGAGCCTCGCTGTTCGTTGGATGAACGAGTCTTTGGAAAGAGATGTTCTGCAGGTCTCCAAAGTGACCACGAAGGGGTGCGAAGCCTCAACTCGACGGGTTAATCTCGCGGGGACTGCCAAGGAAGGAACAATTGTTGATATTTCAGAAGAGTATCGTCCATGAAAATATCTATAAAATAGAGCCAGATCGCCAACTTTCCTACGGTGTTCCAGAGAAGTGAATGAGTTTGTGAGCGAGGCATCACCCACGTAACGAATTGTCTTTTTTTGGACAGAATCCAACAGTTTCAGGGTATGTTTGGGTGCTGCACTCCAAATATGGGAACAGTATTCCAGGACAGGTCGGTTCTGTGCATAATAGATCATAAGTAGTTGACTGAGAGTGAAATAGCTCCTGGCCCGAAACAGAAAATCAAGTTTTTGGGATGCACTTTCAGCAATTGATCTCTTGGTCTTGATAGTCTTGGTCTTGGTCTTGATAGTCTTGGTCTTGGATCAAAATGCGTCTAGAAATTTGAAATATTCAATTCAAATATCTGGTTTGTATGCATATTTGCATATAATAGGTATTTCATATTTATCGTCTTTAAAATTATCAATTTGTGCGTATTAAGTGAGCGAAAGAAATTTCTCCTTTCACCATAAGAATATAATTTTTGAGAAACCTTAAATAAACATTAAATGAGACCCAAACAGCAAACAGGTCGACACCCGATAGGCCAGAAAAAAGGTTCAAAAGGGGCGGAACTGACACAACGTATTGTTACGTTATTCGGGTGCAGAAGCGAACACGACACTATTTATTTTCGAACTGATTTATTTCAACTAAAGAAACACTAATTTATATCGAACTTATAACTACTATTAATGTAATAGTTATTTATGTATCAAGGGCGTAAAGTAGGCGTTTATGGTCTGTGGCGTGAATGATTGCCCGATGGCGCTAGCCGAGGGCCATTACACGCTGAAGGCCAAAACGTATTTCACGCACGTGATACATACAAAATTTTATGCACTAGTGGTTTATTTTCTTACTCAAAAGTAATGACTATGCATTTCGATAAACTAATATTCCCCCGAATTTAATTTGTTACCTATAAATTCAGTAATCAAGAGAAGCGTAATGTTCATGGATGATTCACTTATAAAAATCATCGTACAAATATTGCAATTATCGTAATAGTCAAACTCTTTGATCTCTAAAAGAGATTCTTTCTTCAGAATTTCACAATATGCATACCCAGTATTTATACCTAAATTGACGTTGTCAAGCAAGCTGATGGTTGTTGTCTATAGCAGTGATAGAAAATACATCCAATAAACAAGCTGAATTGTCATTCTTTGACTGAAAAGTGAAAATTGGTGATAATGATAATAGCGAGACTATGGAATCGGATAAAGAAGAAGTTTATGATATACCGCTGGATATATTAGAATCTAGGAAAATGATCATAGGTTTTTCATGAATTGATATGTGGATATAAGGAAACTGAGAACATCAGCGGACGGTAAAGTGCACTTTACGGCCCGTGGGCCATAATGAGCCCGCGGGTGGTAAAGTTCAACTTAACGCTCGCAAAACGCGGTAAAGTGCACTTTACGGCCCGCTAGTGCATAAAACGATTTATATCACGCGGTATATAACTGTCTCTCTGACACTCGCTGCTCGACTGCCTGACGGCAGTTGTCCGGTCGTTTATATATGAGATCCTTTGGTAGGCTTTGGTTCGAGAACGTTATCGAATGATCTTCCGTCTCCTTCTTTATGTTCTACATAGAAGCTTTTTAGAACAATACCTCTCTCTCTAATTGTTCCATCGATTGTTTCCAGAACATTCCAAAATCTTCTATCACGTTATTTGTCACCGCGGCATATATTGAGTGTTCGGAAATATGCTGGTGCATGTAGGAATCATTGGGAGGTTGGAGAACAATCTGGGATGCGTGTTACAGGGTGATCGTTGTACTCCTGCCTGCCTGCTGATGTTTCTAGAGCCCCTCTAAGGGGAATATCATTACAGTATAATCAAAATATTTCAAAAAATTTCAAATTCAAGCCAAATAACATTTGTATTGAATTTGTTTCTATCCTCAATAGGAGGAGGTATGGACCACTGTGACCTCACAACATACACCTATTTGTTGTAAACTTTGATACTGCAATACTGAATTTGAAAAATGTATTTCGGATTTTGAGTAAACAAAAATTAAAAACCTACCATATGACAAATAAATAACTGAAATAAAATGTCATTACATTTTCCATCTGATTTTTACTAATTTGAGTAGATTTAGGAGAGCCTTGGTCTCGAAAGTCAAGTCTTGGTCTTGGTCTTGGGAAGCCCTATTTTTTCATCACGCTTTTATTAGTTTGGTATCACAGAATTCATAATCTTTATATTTCACGACCGAACGCATTGAAATATGGGTCAAATTATACTAATCTCAGACTTACGTGGCTGTACGGTTATACAGGAGAGGAGAAAAACTACTGAGACGTAGTTTATGCATTTTCATTGGTTTGTTTACAGCAAATTTTGCCAGTTTTATTAGCTGCCACTTGTGACTGCTTGTCATTGAATTTATTTCCGAAAAGTCAGAAATATTATTATTAGATCTTTCGTAATATCAATATTATACTTGGTTAGTGTGATGAAGTGATATGTTCAAGACTGCATAACTAACTCTTTGTTGAACACGAGGGCTAAGTTAAAAGGCGGAGTATAAGTACATATCTAAAATACTTCTGATCTGTTTCTATCACATAAGATATACTCGAGGTTTCTTGATTTCAATTACAAAAAATAGTTTGTGATACACTTGAACTTCGAATGGCCATCATCTGAAGATCTGGTCAATTCATTCAGAGGATGGTTTTCTTTTAACCAAATGCAGAGTGAGATTCGATGCCTAAACCAAAATCAACATAATATCTTGATTCTCGCTCAGTTGAGGCTGTTGAAAACACTTTCCTCGAATTTGCAGATGATATAATAATATTAATTGTCTTCACATAGTGAATTGTTTTTTTTTATCCATCAGGAATATAGGTATTCTAAAAGATTTTCGAGAAGTTTAATAAAATCAGTCTAAGGTAAAGACCATTTGATTTGGAGAATAATTGTATGTTCTGTACCCTATATTTATCAGCCTTATGAAATCATCCTCTTCAGCTTCCATTACAATGAAAAATTGAGTGAACCAAAAGCTTATTGAAATGTGAATTCTAAAATTTGTTAAATGACAAATTTTAAATGTTGGCATATAACCCTCTAGTCTCTATTCGAAGTGAAAGAATTCTTTTGAAATGAACTCTGTGATTTGATATAGTAGAATGCGATACTCATTTAAACCATGAACTATGACAAATGAATGTTATAAAATGTGCAGAAGAAATATGGAAGAATATATTATTTTAATTATATTCTATATTTGTGCAGTGAATTCCTTTCCCAAAAAACCAAAATCATAAATGTAGAGTGCAAAAAAATGAGCAGCATATCTATTTATTTATATCATCCAAATTCATCATTAGAATTTTATAGTCATTTTCCGATTATCCGAATATTCATATAATAATACTTTCATCTCATCTTCACGATACGCCACTGGTGTCCATTCACATTTCACCACGAATTTTAACGCCGGCACTGTTTATGGTTTACTTATAAGTGTTGCAGCTAATGCATGATTTGTTTGTCCGCCATATTGGATATGCATTTCGACCCACTTCAAAACAAAGAAATCAAAAATTTCCGCTACCAAAACCTCAAATGTCCTGCCACCAGAATTTCAAATGTTCGCCACCAAAATTGCAAATGTTCGAATAACATTTTACATCCACAGACACGGCAGTGTTTCACACCAAGTACTCGTATGAAGAAACAACGATAAATAGGAGATAGAAAAAAATTGACTACATGCTTCCATAGTTAGCCAAATTAAGAAATAGAAAATGAAGTGATTTTACTTAATTCGTATTTCGAATATATTGAAAATTATTATTTTATTATTCCTTCCGTTGTCAACCTCTGAATTTGTCGAACAGCACTTTATCAAAACTCGTTTATTTGTAGAACGGCGAAGCTCTGTAATTCATTGCCTGAGGATGTTAAGAGGATACAGCTAGTGTAGTAGTTTGATAACGAAATTATATATTTTTGATATTTTGACTGACTTGGAAGGTTCTTTATTAATGTCTCAATTGTTTAACAAAGTTCTGTAGTCA